GGTGCCTATAAAGGTTTTCACCGATAAGACTATCTCTTTTCTCTTTCTTTTTTTTCTTTTTTTTTCTTTTTTTTTGACAAAGTTGTCCTTGATGATCAATTGTTCGTGCAATACACACCAAATTTATCGTTCTCAGAGTTAATCAAAATGTTGGTTGCTAGAATAAAATCAAAAACAAAATCAATTTGACTCTATTCTATCAAAAAAATGCCCCAATTTTCTATAGATACTGGAATATTGATTATTTTTTTTTGGTATGACTGAACCCCAAAAGGTTGCCTACGTATCCTTTCGGAATCAGGTCAAACGCAGTTCAAATTTTCAAAGAGAGTTTTTTTTTTTTTTTAAGAGATGCCTTTGTTCTCTCATCCACAAACTTGTCACAGTATCTTAGAACACATTAGATGTAGTATCTTTTGACTGCTTCCGCATTAACAATTATGCTTGTGATTTTTTCCTCTATATCAGTAAGGTGTAAGGCTCCTTTGGACAATACTTCCTTGATAAGATATGGACCTTGCCAATTTGGGGCAAACTTTTCCTTGGCCTCTTCTTGGTGAGGGAGAATGCGCTTTAAGACCAGTTGACCTACTTCAAAGTGTCTTGGGTGCACCTTTTTGTTGTATGCACGAGCCATCCTTTGTTGATAGAGTTGACCAAAACAGACGGCCGTCAATCGCTTCTCATCTATTAATGTGAGCTGCTCTAGTCAGGTTTTGACCCATTCAGTATCTTCAATTTCAGCCTCGACAATAATTCGAAGAGATGGAATTTCAACTTCCGCTGGTATCACAGGCTCAGTCCCATACACCAGCAAATAAGGAGTTGAACCAATCGAGGTGCGCACTATTGTGCGATATCCTAAAAGTGCAAAAGGCAGCTTCTCATGCCTTTGTCTAGTGCCTTGAACCATTTTCCTGAGAATCTTTTTGATATTCTTGTTGGCTGCCTCCACAGCTCCGTTGGCCTTTGGTCGGTATGGAGTAGAATTGTGATGCGCAATTTTGAACTGCTCACATACCTCCTTCATCAAATTGCTATTAAGGTTTGCAGCGTTATCTGTGATGATAGTTCTTGGGATACCAAAACGACAAATGATGTTTGAATGAACAAAATCCACGACCACCTTCTTAGTGACTGCCTTGAAAGTGATTGCCTCTACCCATTTAGTAAAGTAATCAATTGCGACCAAAATGAATCGATGTCCATTAGAAGTCTTTGGCTCAATTGGTCCGATGACATCCATTCCCCATGCAACAAAGGGCCAAAGAGCGGCCATGGGGTGCAACTCTGAAGGAGGTGAATGAATGAGATCACCATGAATTTGACATTGATGACATTTTTTCACAAAGCGAAAGCAATCGCGTTCCATGGTAAGCCAGTAATATCCTGCACGGAGTATCTTTTTCGCAAGGACATATCCATTCATGTGTGGTCCACATACCCCAGCATGTACTTCATCCATGATCTTCTCGGCTTCTTCAACATCCACACATCTCAATAAGTTCAGATCCGGGGTGTGTTTATATAAAATTTCCCCGCTAAAAAAGAAACCACTAACCAAACGTCTAATAGTTCTTTTTTGGCTTCCATTGGCATGTTCGGGACATTTCCCTGTTTGCAAGAAATTCTTGATGTCTAGGTACCACGGCTCACCATCTGATTCTGCTTCCACAGTGTTACAATAGCCATGTTGGTCCCGAAGTTGAATCTCCAAGGGAGTAAACAAGTGTTTCCAGGATATGGAAGCATTGAGGCCAAAGTAGCCAAGGCATCTGCCAATTCATTATGAAATCTGGGAATGTATCTAAACTCGATGGACCTAAACCTTTTGCTAAGATCTTCCACACATTGTTTGTAGGGAAGAAGCTTGAGGTCTCGAGTTTTCCATTCGCCCTGAGCTTGCCTAATAAGCAAATCAAAATCTCCCAACACAATCAATTCTTGCACACCCAAATCTATTGCCATATTTAGACCCATGATGCAAGCTTCATACTCTGTTGTGTTATTTGTACAGAAGAAACGAAGTCGAGCTGTCGCAGGGTAATGCTGTCCTGTGGGCGATATGAGAATTGCCCCAATCCCTGTGCCTTTTTTGTTGATTGCTCTATCAAAGTATAATTGTCAGGCTTGGTTTTCATCTGGATTTACTTCTTCAACTGAGTTAATCTCTTCATCTGGAAAATATGTATCCAGTGGTTCGTAGTCGCCATCGACTGGATTCTCTGCCAAGTGGTCTGCCAGAGCTTGAGCTTTCATTGTAGTTCGAGTGACATATATAATGTCAAATTCAGTGAGCAAGATTTGCCATTTCGCGAGTCTGCCAATTGGCATTGGCTTTTGAAAGATGTACTTCAATGGATCCATCCTAGATATGAGGTAAGTTGTGTAGGACAAAAGGTAATGCCTTAACTTTTGAGCTACCCAAGTTAGGGCACAACATGTCTTTTCCAAGAGGGTGTACTTGACCTCATAACTAGTGAATTTCTTGCTCAAGTAGTAGATAGCTTGCTTCTTCCTGCCTGTGGAATCGTGTAGACCGAGAACGCACCCAAAGGAATTAAGATATAGAAAGAGAGGCCTATCAAGTTCAGGCGGGACCAACACGGGAGGTTTGGACAAATATTCCTTAATTTTGTCAAAAGCTTGTTGACAATCATCCGTCCATCGGACAACAGCATCCTTTTTCAAAAGTCTGAAAATGGGCTCACAAGTGGTTGTGAGTTGAGCAATAAACCTGCTAATGTAGTTCAACCTCCCAAGTAGACTCATGAATTCGGTCTTATTTTTCGGGGGTGGCAAATCTCTAATGGCTTTTATTTTGGAAGGATCCAATTTGATTCCCCTTCTACTGACAATAAAACCCAGAAGTTTTCCAGATGGAACTCCAAATGGACATTTTACTGGATTAAGCTTGAGATCATATCTTCGCACTCTTTCGAAGAATTTTCTCATATCTTGCACATGGTCAGCTTGAGTTTTAGACTTGATGATTACGTCATCGACGTATACTTTGATTTCTTTATGCATCATATCATGAAACATGGTGGTCATAGCCCTCATGTAAGTTGCCCCAGCATTTTTAAGACCGAAGGGCATGACCCTATAGGAATAAGTCCCCCATGGAGTGGTGAAAGCAGTTTTCTCAGCGTCCTCTTCGTCCATCAAGATTTGATGATACCCCGCATAGCAGTCCACAAATGATTGAATTTCGTGTCTAGCACAATTATCCACTAGAATGTGGATATTAGGCAAGGGAAAATTGTCTTTTGGACTAGCTTTGTTCAAATCCCGATAGTCAACACAAACTCTTGTCTTTCCATCCTTTTTCGGCACAAGAACAACATTTGCCAACCAAGTAGTGTAACGAATGGTTTGGATCACATTCGCATTTAGTTGTTTCATGATTTCATCCTTGATTTTTTCACTCACGTCCGGTTTAAATTTTCTTCTTTTTTGTTGGATGGGTGGAAAATCAAGATGAGTGGGCAACTTATGGACCACTAAATCAATACTCAAACCTGGCATGTCATCATAGGACCAAGCAAACACATCTTTGTATTCAAACAAAAGTTGTATTATGGCATCCCTAATTTCCTTCTTGACATGAAGACTTATTTTTATTTCTTTGACTTCCTCATTACTTCCCAAATTGATGGCCTCAGTTTCACTAAGATTAGGCTTAGGTTTGTGCTCAAACTGTTCCAATTCCCTATTAATTTCCCTAAAAGCCTCTTCTTCATCATATTCAACCTCTAGACTCGGGGATTCAAGAATAAACAACTCTTTGAGATCTGGGAGTGAATTCCGCATGCATGTCATGTTATCAAAGTCGGCATTTATAGAACTGAAAAATGAAGAATAAGAATCAGGGAAAGGAAAAGACAAAATATTACTATGAAGCTGGAATTTCATTTCATTTAAATTAAAAAAGGATAGAAGGGTTGACATTAAAACAAAACACTTTCAAATATTCGGATCACAACCCTGACAACAACAAAATACAAAAGAGTAGCAAAACAAACTACCAAGACTCCTTCCTTATGGGGAAAGGAGTGGCTTCCCAATTGTTTAACTCAAAACCTGAGCCCACGAGCTGCACATCGACATAACTTGTACCTTCACCAACTTGGACCATGTTTACTTCACAAAACAACTAACTGAGATCCTGAATAACTTCTTCAATGTCTTCATGAGTAAAGGAAGCTTCCATTTCTAGACCCTGAGGCTTGATAAAGGAATGATAAATATGGGGAATTGGTTGTGGCAATGCCCAATCAGTCCTTTTGTGGTTCTTAGTCTCATCTCCATTTCTCTTGCGAACATAGTCCCACACCTTTACCAGGTTGATAACCATATTTGAGCATTGTCGTTGCTACCATTGAAGAGGAAGACTAGAGACATGGTTGGATAATGGGGTCTCCTTCTCTAAAGCGATCGACTGATACGGCCTCAAAAGACTGGTAAACAATGGAATCACATCCTTCTTTTGCCTCAATGTATGGAATGGAGGGATCTCTGTAAACAGGCAAATCATCTTCCCCATGCACAATGATTTCTTGATGGTTGTGTTCAAACTTAACAACTTGATGCAGAGTTGATGGGACCGCCCGAGCCATGTGGATCCATGGCCTTCCCAATAGAAAATTATAAGATGTGTCCATGTCCATTACTTGGAACACAATCATAAAATCCACCGGTCCAATTGTCATGTTTAACTTTATTTCACCAATGGTATCCCGCCTTGAGCCGTCATAAGCTCGAACAAATACATTGCTGGGGCAAATTCTGTCAAGGCTAATTTTCAAGTTTTACAGCGTAGAGAGAGGACATATGTCTACCCCTGATCCCCCATCTATCATGACCCTCTTTACACAGTACCCTTCACATTTCACTGTAAGAAGCAGAGCTCTGTTGTGTCCAGCTCCTTCTGTGGGCAACTCATCATCAGTGAAAGTGATGGCGTTTGACTCAAAGATGTGCTTGGTCATTTTCTCTAACTAATTTACCGTTGTCACCTTCGATACATGTGCTTCGTTCAAAACCTTATTCAACACACGACGATGTTCTTCTGAGTGCAAGAGTAGAGACAACAATGAAATTTGTGCCGGGGTTTTCTTCAATTGTTCCACAATAGAGTAATCTAGAACCTTAATCTTTTTTAGAAACTCTTCTGCTTCTTCCTCAGTAACTGCTTTCTTCAGTGGTACTTGGATGTTTTGAGTCATTTTCCCTTTTCTTAATTCTTCTGGAGAATAACATCTTCCAGAGCGTGTCAGCCCTCCTGCTTCATCAACCTCTTCAACAATCTCCTTTCCTCGGTAAACCACAGCGATTTTATTATAGTTCCAAGGGACAGCCTTTGAATCAATTACCGGAAGCTGTTGGACGGGCTTAACAAAGATAGGTCCTTTCAACTTTGCCAAGCAATTTTGGTCATGTTGTGTTAATGAAAAACCCTTTGATACATACAACTTCGGCATACCTGCTCGAACTTCAATCCCCTTCGAAACCCCCGGGACACACAAAACTTTGGTATCAAGGTTGACACCTTCCACACTCAAAGATGCAACTGGTTTTAAACTCTTTATCGGCTTGTTTTCCTGTTCGATCTTCCTAAACAACTTTCCCATTTTGCCAAGGAGTTTGTACTCTTGATCATCGCAGATCATACCCACTAAATTGTTTTGAGCTGGAAGCGGGTTATTAGTCACATTGTGAGTGTTTTGATCATCTGTCACAACGACCACTCCATGATCGATTAGCTTCTCTATCGCCCCCTTCAAGGTCCAACAATTATAAGTGCTGTGTCCTGGGGCCCCCGAATGATACTCACATCTTTCATTGGCTTGGAAACCTGGAGCAGTTGGATTCAGACGATGTGGTGGGATAGACCCAATCACTCTTATCTTTCTTAACTTTTGAAACAAACTGGAGTATGACTCTCCCAATGGAGTGAATTTCCTTTTCTGTCCTTGCTCTTGAGCATAATTTTGCATAGGAAGAGGGTTGTAAGGGACCTGATAAGGTGGTCGTTGTGGGAGAAGGTTTCCTTGAGTTGGGGCCCAAAAATGTGGGCGATTGGGAGAATGCACATATGACTGAGCATTGAAGACCGTGTATGGAGATGGAGATGGAGATACTGAATATTGAGGGGCATAAGGGTAGTAATGTTGAGGATAGCTGGATTGTCCCTGAAGTGGTGGGTAAGGACAATTAGAGTTCCTTTGAGCACTCCTTGGCCCTGATGCTAGCGAAGAAACTTCCTCTTTTCTTTTACGATTTCCAAAACTGTCTGAACCACCTTGAATGGCCTGTGTTGTAGCTTTGATTGCTATCTGGCTCACGATCCTTCCTGTGTTTTGATTGCTGTGTGAAACGGTCTTCCCATTGCGGCTGTCAGGTGGTGGAAATAGTCAGGATCTTGAGCCTCTATGAAGATATCAACCAATTCTTGCTCATCTAAAGGTGGTTTGACCCGGGCTGCTTGTTCCCTCCATTTGATAGCATACTCTCTGAAGCTTTCATTTGGCTTTTTTCTCGTATTAGAGAGTGTATTGCGATCTGGCATAATGTCGACATTGTACTGAAATTGTCTAACAAAATCTTGAGCCATATCATCCCAGATGTGCCAGTGGGAGATATCTTGGTCTATAAACCATTCTGAGGCAACACCAGTCAGGCTCTCACCAAAATAAGCCATGAGCAGTTCCTCTTTACCCCCTGCACCTCTAAGTTGATTGCAGTATCTCTTGAGGTGAGCTATGGGATCACCGTGCCCATCATACTTATCAAACTTAGGGGTTTTGAATCCCGGTGGCAAGTGGACATTTGGGAACATACACAAGTCTTTGAATGCGACACTTTTGTGCCCTCCTAGCCCTTGCATGCTTTTCATGTGTTGCTCGATGCTTTTCATTTTCTTCAACATTTCCTCTTGCTCTGAGACTTGAGGAGGCCTCTCAACATCAATAGGAGAGCCGAATTGTACAGAGTTAGGGCCCCCGAATGCTATCCCAGGAGTATAATATTGCTCTGGATGGACGGTGAACTATCCCTCTTGAGCTGCTCTCGGTGTCACACTTGGTTGTGGGAGAGTATAAACCGGTGCAGCTGTCGCGACAGTGGGATTATTCCTGAATGGCATGCCTTGAGGGCGTGTTGTTGATGGTCCGGCCCCACAATTATCAAATGGACCATACCCCGGAGTAAAGAAAGGATCTGATATCGGGACCTAAGAAGACGAAGATCGGATACTAGTGATCTCAGGAAAACCGGGAATAGACGATGGTGGTTCTTGGCCATTGGCCCAGGCTTGCCACAACTGTGCCATAACATTCCTCAATGTCCGATTTTCTTCAATCGTGGCTGACTCTCTTGTCGTTGAATCAACTGGAGTGTCCACTGGGTTTATCGCAGTTTCAGTATTGCTTGTCATTGACGCTCTTACCTTAGACCTGGTAAAGTATGGGTGTTCTGCCAGTTTACCACAAACCAACCACCGAAAGCTAACTAAAGAGATGAGAAATGAACAAACTTGTTAGGGGTTAGACATCACTCACACATTTGTTAATCACATAATAACATGAGTTCAAAAGGCTATTGTCTCATCCCAGCTTTGCTTCGCTCATTGTCTTCCATTTTTATTTTTTTATATTTTTTAAAAAGTTTTGATCGAACCCTTTGGAGGTTGCCTACGTATCATGTCGCCGCATGAATCAGATCAGTACGTAGTTCAGAAATTTAGACAAGAAAAATCCAACCCTTTCATTCATTTCCAAAAAACTTTAAGCAAAATCAATGGGTTTAAACACAACCATGATCAACATGATCTCTTTGAACACCGAACTTTAAACTGAAACACTGAGTCTTAAACAAAACAAGATAAAACATATAAACAAACTAAACAGCTAAACTCTTCTTCAATCTTCATCATCTTCCTTGGGCTTTCTTTGTCCTCCCAAGGTCACATACAAATTCAACAACACCTTCGGCAGATGAGGAACAATGGCCCGTGCTTGCTCAGTCACTTCTGGATCATTCATGCGATGATGATTTTTAATAACATAGGAGGTTTGTTCCGCCAACTGATGGACTTGACGCCTAGCCTTTCCCATATTTTCATAGTAGTTATTCAACCAAACCTGATGATCACCAAGATTGTTCCTTAAGAGGGCCTCTCGCTCCTCTGCTGCTTCAAGTTGATGGCGAAGTGTTGCTCTCTCAATGATCATCTGCCTTTGCCCCTCTTCGATATCAACACACTGACTGATTCTTCTTTTATGGTCTTCTAATTCTGCTTTAAGTTGATCATGTAAATGCATCCAACATGACCTTTCTTTCTCAAATTTCTCCTTCCACCGCTTAAGTTCTCCCCTTTGGTAGTTCACGACCTCTTCAGATGCCACTAAGTCCCTCTTCAATCGAGAAATTTCAAAAATCTGCTCCTTTTTTATTTGTCGGGCCAAGTGAATTCTACTATCCAACTCTTCCTCTAGACGGGCTAATTTCCCCTCCGCATGTTTCAATTTCCCTTCCGTATCTTGTAACTCCAACTGAATATTTCTTCCTCTTTGGACTTGAACTTCTTGCCGGGCAATGGTGGTTTTGGCCTTCTCCAACTCTTTTTCCAACTGTCTTATGATGTGCTGGTCTTTTCTTTTTCTGCTGGATCCTTCGGGAATGTCATCAAATGTTGTTGGATCACGAAACCACGATAAGTACCCAGGCACCACTTTTCCCTTATCTTGCTCCACCACCATTTCACTTAGCTCAGAGATTATACTTCCAAACCAGATCTTTAGAATATCAGTGCTATCAAAGGCAAAACCTGGCGGGGTGTCAAATACAAATCTACTCATATCATCATTTGGTGGAATTTCTTGTACTCTAGCCAGCTGACGCATAACTCTAAGTGGGGCATAGGGTTGAACACCTCTAAACCCAATCAACACAAGAAACGAGATACCACTAGACATGCATATGACATCCTTAACTGGGAACCAGTAATAATTCCATACTATTTCATCAGACGTGATCACCGAAAGTTTCTCTTCACACGCTATAATTCCTTTTGGAAAATCAATTTTTGCTTCTCTTTCCTTATGGGAGGAAACATAATTACACCAGTCGGGAGTGAACCTGGGTGCACGATCATGGTGATAAAGATGCTCCAAAAACCATATTTGCAACAAAATGTTGCAGCCTTCAAAGTACATTTCCCTATTTATGCATTTAGTCAATGCACGAAACATATCTACCAGGATCATAGGAATAATAGTAGGACTCTCCATTGTGGTCAACGCCTTCACCATCCCAGCCAGACGAATATCAATATTCTTGTCCCGTTTGGGGAAAACAATGAGCCCCAAAAACGCGACCATGAAGGCAAAACACATCCATTCGCCTTCCAAGCCTTTTCACCCCCTTGGTTGCTAAGTTGGTTCCGATAGTTTTTAAATCCATCCTTTTGGCCATACCTCTCGTATAGAAAGTCCAATGAAACCCACCAATTTTTCAAACTCTCCTTCTCTACTTGATTGATCTTGAGAAGTTCCAGGAACTTTTTGGCATCAACGTTCTTTGGAATTATAGGTTTTTTGTTGCGGAGATCAGCACCCCGAACACTGGACCCCTTCCCTATGAAGCTGGCGATTTCTTCCAGAGTTGGTGTCATCTCGAAGTCAGAAAATCGAAATACATTATTTTTTGAATCCTAGAAAGGAATCAATGCCTCGACCACATCCCTTCTAGGGTCAATCTCCATCAGATGCACTAGATGTCCCAGATGTTCTTTTACTTTCCTTTGCTCATGACTCCCCATGTTTGTCCACCATCGCCATAAATTCTTGGGTATTGTGTCAACGATCATGAACTCTGGAATTCCTTCACTTCTAGGCCTTTTGGAACCCTGTCCTTTGGTCGGAGGTGCCATTTGTACCTTTGAATAGAGTCCAATTAATGTTTTATGACAAACTCTAACCGAGGGAAGAAAGAAAAGTAAACAAAAAATTATTTAAAAAAATAAAATACCTCTTTTTACAAACACCGAGCCCGAGAAGGGATGCCTACATATCTCATTTTAGTGAGAATCAGGTGTGCGTAGTTCATAAAAAAAACTCACACTTGAAATATTATCCCTTTTATTTCACCCCCTTTTTTAAAAAAAATAAAATAAAATTGAAAGACAAAGCTATTATAAAGCTAGTCAACAATATAAAGGCCTTCTGAACAAATTATTTTCACGTAATACATAAAATGAACACGTTAGTCTAAAGTGGGCACATATCTTAGATTTTCTAGGCCAAATGCAAATTATACAAATAAACGTAGCCTACCAGAGATAGTTTTTACTAGGTTTAACACTTTATTTGGAACGTGTCTAGACTGGCTTACTCGAGTGGACAACTCGAGCCGGGGAGGGTCAGCGTACCGGTAGCAGAGCTATTCCGGCTTAACTGGTGGTCCAACCCCGCTTAACATGTGTGACAAACCTAGAACCAGGAGCGTAACCGCACATTGGTTCATCCTAGATAGAAGTTCCGTGGAGCGTATCCGCACACACAGTGTATAACAAAATTCTAGAGATTTAGAGGGTGTGCGAGAGGACGCAATTTATATACAATTACATAATATCAAAACAATGAATCATTGAAATAATGCAATTAGTCAACAAAAAAAAAAAAAAAAAAAAAAACTTATCCAAATATTCAAAATAGCCAAATATAGTTAATGTACAATGCTCGAATTCTAAAGAAAGTCCCCAGCAGAGTCGCCAGATCTGTCACACCACTTCTCTTTTTACAATAGGTAATGGAGTATGACGGGTTTTTTTTTTAAAAAAAAAGAATAAAAAAATATAAAACTAAAGAAAACATGATTATTATTTTTTTTAAGAGTCACCACTTGAAAATGAGTTTTTTAGGTGTTCCAAGTCACCTAGTAATTCCTAAAAAAAATCTTTTTATTTTAGTCTACGAAAAACAAAGATTGGGTAAGGAATTCTATTGACCGGAGGGAAGGTGTGAGGCACCCCCGAGTCCCGTGGTTCTAGCACGGTCGCTTAATCAACTCATGTTTGGCTAAAATAATTTTTGGATAAAAGAATAAATTTGTGTTAGTTACTAATCTTTTTTTTTATTATAAAAAAAATGATTGACCTAGGAGCGTAACCGCACACAAGATCACTTTTTTTAGAAATGAATACACACCAAGGATCGTAACCGAACACATGGTGGTATTTAAAGTTTTTTTTTTTTTTTTCTTAAAAAAATGGATAATTCATGACTCAAATTTTATTTAACAATGAGAAAAGAATAAAAAGAACTTGTTGCAACATATAGACTTGAACAAAGATTTTTTTTTTTAAAATGAAATAAAAATAAAATAAATATATTAAGTGTCACTACTTGATGATAACAACAAAAGAAAAAAAAAGTATATATTCTTTTTTTAAAAAAAATAAAATAATGACTAGGCCGCTTTTAAAACAACTAGTGATGTACTAAAAAAATTTATATTGATATAATTTCAGAAAAACGACCACTTTAATAAAAATTTTAGTTTTTCATAAAATGGTCATATGTTTTCTTTTGAAAGAAAATTGCAAAATACCCTATTGTATCTAAAAGTTAAATTACTAATCAAAGTAGTCGGTTTTGTATTTCGTTTCAATAACCATTTTATGTATTTATTGAAGAGAAAAAAAAAAGCTGAATTTATGAAATGATCAAATTTACATTATTTTTGCAGAATGACCAGATTTACATTTTTTACAAAAATGGCCAGATTTACACTTTTTGCAAAAATGATCAGATTTAGTTTTTTTTTTTTTTTTTTTTTAAAAAAAATAGCCTCTTTTTTTTTCTTTTCTTAGAATGACCAGAAACTAAAAATTAAAAAAAAAAAGACTTTGAGATTGTTGTTTTTTTTTTTTTAGCAAAAAGTATGGGCTATGCATTAACTTCATAATGATAAATATAAAATTCACACCTAGTTTAATAATAGAACACAAATATACAATAACAACAAGATTATCATTTAACTAATTCCAATAAAGTTATGTATCATTTCATAATGATAAGATATAATTAACACTTAGTTTAATAATAAAACACAAATATACAATAACAATGAAATATAATCATATTAAGTATCATAACATATTTAACTAATTCAAATAAACTAAACATAATAATTAAATCAAAAATATAAACATGCTTCATTATTTTTGAAGTTACATTGCAAAGTGTAAGGAAAGAAATATACCTAAAGAGATGATGACAAAACAATGATAAAAGCAAAAACTCAATTCCACTCCCAAAAGACCACCCAAGATGAAATATATATATATATTTTTTCTTTTTAGAAGTGATGATTTTTCTCTTCTAATTTTCTGTTCTTGTTCTTTCTCTTTTTTTTTCTTCTTCCTGAAATGAA